TTCCGACCAACTAGAGTGCTTGCGCTTCGCGCTTTGCAGGACTCTGCACTGCCCACTTATTCCGTTCTCATCAAATAACTATGTTGTTATATTGCAAGCATCAATGGAATTTGATCATCTTTCTTGCAACAACACGATACAGGGAAAGACATTCAAGAAAATCTAAAAAAAAAACGGATGCCACGGCAGCGAGTGAAGGCCATACATGGCAGCCTTCAGATACGATGGTACTGATTAAACTGAAACGATACCGTGGAAAGCTGAGCCATAATAAACTTGGTAAAGATGTGACCACATAGACCACCTATAACCTCACAGAATAAGAGGAACCGGTTGAGCCTCAGAGTCAAGAGGCCCATAAACAGGAGGAAGCGCAGGGCGCTTCTGAGAGTCAGCTCTCAGCATAAGCTAAGAAAACGGGTAGGAATACAGTCACTGGGACCGTATCTAGCCTTCTGGAATGAAAGGGAAAGAAGTAAGGGCCATATCCTCGATGTACCCAGAATATGGCAAAGCGCAGGCGCTTCCAGAGCTCAGCTCTCAGCTGAGCTCAAAGAGTCTTAATACCGGCGTAAAACCAGTGGAGAGATGGTCGCACAGACCATCTGAAACCTCTCGGAATGAGTGGAAAAAGAGTAAGGGCTTGAAATCTGAAAAAACCCTGGATGCGACAAAGCGCAGGGCGCTTCCTGAGCTCAGCTCTCAGCTGAGCTCAAAGAGTTATAATACCGGTGCAAAACCGGTGGAGAGATGGTCACCTAGACCATCTCCAGCCTCGCGGACTGAGAGGAAAGCAGATTGGCTTTCCATAGGGAAAAGGAAAGAAGGAAGGAAGCGCAGGGTGCTTCCAGAAACAGCAGCGGCTCCTTGGGCTAAGGAGCCAATAAAATTATAGATAGATGGTCAGATAGACCATCAGAAACCTCTCGGCATGAGAGGACTGCTGCCAATGACTGGCAGCAAAGCCCCGCTACATTTGTCTTGGGCTAACCTGTACAGAAGTTTACATTCATTGAAACAAAGTACATACAACAATTGCCGTCCATTCATTCAAGTAACGTAGCAAGCCAGGTTAACGTTAACCCAAAAGTCTTCTGTATACTACATTCGCATCGTCCAGCTTGACTCGGGCAAGAACAGCATCGCATGAGACCTATGTCGCACACAGCTTAGCGCAGTGTACAGCTGCCCATGTGAGAAGACATCCTCTCTACAATCAATCACTACTTGATCAAGAGTGAGTCCTTGGCAATTGTTGAACGTTGTGGAGTAAGCCAACTTCAGTGGAGACTGTTTCCATCGGACTGTGTATTTCGCATAGTTGGGTTTAAAGTCGAAGTGAAGTTCTGGAACAGGAGGACAAATGGGGAGCGGAAAATAAAAGAGAGAAGGGACAGGCGAGATGACGTAAAAGAAAGCATGTAAGCAACCCGAAAGGGAAGATGATGACAAATTTTCAGCGTCGCCAATTGCGTAATATCGGGAGTGGTTAGTGACTCTGTGTGCAGAGTAATGACGACAAAAGGTCACGTGGGGTGAAGGTTCTCACGGATGCATTTTAGTTCCCGTCGTACCACCTTATATAAAAGGCGTTCTTTTTTCAAGTATCCTGTCCTCCCCTCATCGTTCCCTACCACGTCCTCAACGGTCAGTGCATATTTTTGGTTCCCTTCCAACCTGGTGCGGAAAATACGCATGCATAATGGTGGACTCAATGAAACATGATTTTATTCTACCTCCCATTATCCCATTTTCAATTTTTTCATTTGGACTTCGTGTGCTGACCCAAGATTTTTACAGGTCGCTAAATAATGTCTCAGGAGAATGGTGATGGGCGCGTTCACGAGCGCATGGCGAACTATACCGGATTTTTTGAGACTTCGGAGAAAGACAGCGAGACGCATAAGGAGAACCGGTTGCACAGTTATACAGACGTAGTCAATGGTCTATGTTTTTATGCATCCCTCGCACATTCAAACTAACGCTCGAATCTGATAGGTTACTATGATGGCGCGACTTTGTTATATGAGTACGCCTGGGGACGGTCTTTCCACTTCTCTCGATTTTACAGAGGCGAATCATTTCACCAATCAGTCAGTTTACCTTTTTTCGTTTCGCTCCAGCTTCTCAACAAAACAGGTTGCAAGGCATGAGCACTATTTAGCTGCTCAAATGGGCCTAAAGTCTGGGATGCGCGTCCTCGACGTGGGGTGTGGCGTTGGCGGACCCGCCCGAGAGATCGCACGGTTCTCGGATGTTCGTATTGTGGGTGTGAACAACAATGCTTTTCAGATAAGCCGTGCAAAGAAGTACACAGCCGCCGCCGGGCTCTCAGAACAGGTCGAGTTCATCCAAGGGGACTTCATGAAACTTTCAGAAATGTTTGGACCCAATAGTTTTGATGCTGGTGCGTCGGCGTTATAGTTGTGGAACTGAACAATTAACCTTCCTTTTCATGTTCAGTGTACGCTATTGAGGCCACCGTGCATGCACCAACCTTTGAGGGTATTTATGACGAGATCTATAAGGTGTTGAAGCCCGGTGGTGTCGTAAGTTACGTTTCCGCCTGAAGGGTGCCATTTCGTCATTATTATTTATTTTAGTTCGGCGTATACGAATGGGTGATGACTGATGCTTGGGATCCATCAATTCCTGAGCATAAGGCTATAGCACATGAAATTGAAGTTGGTGATGGCATCGCTGAAATGCGTTCTTACGCTCAGGCTCGCGAGGCGTTGAAGACGGTTGGGTTCGAGATTGAGCTCGATGAGGATCTTGCGGAACGGCCAGATGAAGTCCCCTGGTATTACGTCCTGGAGGTTTGTATGTCCCTGCTCGTTCCTTTCATTACCGCTGACTTTTGCATTGTGGGCTAGGGTGATCTTCGCAAAGCCCAGACAGCGTGGGACTACATAATGGTATTTCGGACGTCGACGCTTGGACAATTTATCACGCATAATGGCTTATGGCTCTTGGAAAAATTACGTCTGGTTCCTCAGGGGACTTTCGAAGTTTGTGAAAATCTAAAACAAGCGTTAACCGGTCTTGTGAGGGGAGGCCAGATGAAGGTTCGATTCTGTTGTGTCGTCTTTCTGTTCGACTGCTAATAGTCCCATCAGCTCTTTACTCCCATGGCTCTTTTTGTTTCCAGAAAGCCAAAGGCCAACCTGAATCATGTATTTAATTAAATCTCACTTCTTGATGGACTCTTGTCGCTCGTGGTCATCCTGGTTGTGTTTGACAGACAATTTTTTTTTTATTTGGGTACATGTTATGTCACTCAGCTAAGCAAGCAGTTTTAGTCCTTTGAATGACTTGAACATTAGGTGGGACTTCAGCCTCTATGACTTGTAATATTCTGCTGCTTGTCTCCACAGTCGATGTCCGTTGCATCCAATCCCAGTACAGTTGGGCCCACGCAAAGACAAGAAAATTTCTATAGCGGGGTTCTCCGGACCGTTAAGCATTATTTGGTCGAAATCAGACCCCTTTTGATGGGATCTGCTCAAAAATGCAATTTCTGGGTTTTTCCCTATTTTTTCTAGCACCCGCAAAATTTTGGACCGAAATTTTTAAGATAATTTGATAATTTTGAGCATTGAAATGTAACATCTAGAGTGGAATATATGCCAGCATTTGATCCAAATCAACCTTGAACTTTGTCCATATCTGCCATAGTGCTCTCAGATACTGTACAGTGGCTTTTCTGCCTCTTCACAGCCCATGCCGCTGCTTTCCCAGTCAACCCCTTCCGGTATGCATCCATAAACTGCCAAGCCCGACCAATGAATCTTTGGATTGTATCTGATGGGCACGCATCCAAACACTGTATCACAGCTTCCTTTGCAGCTGAGAAACTTGACTTCCAAATCTCACGGTAGCGATACTTTGCATAACCTGGGGGTCGGCAACCAATGTTGCGACCTTGTGACACTTACATAAGCAAAATGCGTCTCGATTCTGGCCGTGCCATCCTCCCACTCAAAGCACATCATCTTTAGGTTGCAAACTATCTAGAATTTGTGTAAATGACAATGATGTGAAGGTCGGAAGTTATCTACATGTGGAGGTGAGTAATTAGATGGATTTTTTATTTATGAAACCGTGGTTGGGCTAAACACTGTCATTCCGCATCGCCATAAATTCTTGTATCTATGGGTCCCCCTTGCTGACTGTTGTTCAGCATGGCCAGTCATATGAGCTCGAGCTCTAGTAAATTGTCGGGTTTGGGGGGAGGTGATCTTTTTCCTGGAATATGTCCAAGAAGTTCTATCCCTTGGCATTTGGGAGACTAGGAAGTGGGTGTGGGTGTCTGCCCCCAAATTAATAAGCCAATAAGACTGAAGGTTAGATGCCAAGAGATCCCAGGTTGGGCCAGGCAATGTCGGTAAACCCTGGTATGTGATTCCTTTTTGCACCTATCCCGACATTTTGGAAAGATGCACCCCAAATGTACTTTCAATCCTCTTCTTTTTGCTTGATTTTTGGCATGATTGTAGATGTATCGTCTATTTATATTTTGGCCTACCGGATTTTGGAAACTTTTCCTCAATCAAAAGTTATTCACCATACATAAAATCGCATTTTAACATATTTGTCAGGGTACCGAGCTGCTCGGACTCTAAGTCGAGGGATCCCGAGCCTTCGCTGGAGCTGAGGCCGAGGGGGACAGGATCAGTCTCAATGGGGGAACCTGGCAAAGCGGATTGCGATAGGGATTCCAGCTGAGCAGCAAGGGGAAGTGAGAGAAGAAAGTTATCTTCCTCACTCGCTACCCAGGGAATGATAAAGTCAGTATACCCAGCGAAGCGGGGCTGCTCTGCAGAAGGAAATATAACAAATGTCTGTCCCAGTCCGGGGATGATGATCAGGCTGTGCGGGTATGGGGCAGGTGTGTCATCAGTTGTGTGTAAGCAGTCCGGACTTAACCGGGCTGTACTCTGACAATATTGCTTTATAACTCAATGATAACTACATATGAACCCATCAAACTTCAATGGAATGCTAAAATAGCATTGGACTGACTCTTTGCTCAGTTATTACCTTGGTACAACTGTATATTATATGGAGCTTGGGCCTACTACATCCATTGTGGCTTCCGAGTCACAGAATGTACCTTCCCTCTTTTCTGATTGGGCTCAAACTTTGCGAGATTGCTCTATAGGTACAAATGTAGGTTTCGGCCTAGTGGATTTCCGAAATTCTTCCTGGTGCATGAGAAAAGCTCAAGAAGGTCCCGCACATTTTGTGATATTCCATAATCATCCATAACACCGCTTCAAAATGGGCTCACATCCTATGCGGTATCTATCATTATGTCAGGGACTTGTCCGGGGTCGAGGGGGCCCGGGTGTAGCGTCCGGGGCTGAGAGCCTGGCGGGGGGTGGATTGGGCATGCGTACTGACAGGCCCGATGCGGGACAGTGGTCCCTGGCCACTTAGACTGAAGTGGAAAGTTGAGAAGAAGGCTACTTCTTTGGTTCCCACCTCAGGTTCGTTTATATACATGCGGCTTAGATCACATGACAGGTGCCACATCATCCTCACACACAGCTGTGACCACCCGGGTATCTCTGTGGGAGATCCCGAGGGCATCTGGTGCAGGCGCGTGTACTGGGCACAGCGGGAAGTCGCCCGAGGTGCCCGGTCCGGGTACATGGTGGGTGCGCTGCAGATGGGTCAATGGTACATTGATACAAAGAAAGTCGTCCATGTAGAATAAAGAGAGAATAAAGAAGAAGTAAGATAGGGAGAAAGTGAGGAGGGAAGAATGAGGAGGGAGGAAGGGAAAGGGGGAGGAGGTAAGGAAGGGTGGACAGCGGGGTACTGGGTCAGGTTGGGCCGGGTGGAGCTGGGTCAGGTGGGTGTGCCCTGACATCACCCCCCCCTTAAGCCGCTTCACCTCGAAGCGGCCAGGTGGTTCTCCCTTTCTCTCCCTGGGGCTTGGGGGTGCGTCCTGTGAAATTCTTCAATCCAGTTGGGGGCATGGGCTAGGTGGTCCCGCTGGAGCCATTGGTTTTCAGAGTTCGGCCAGCCAGTGAACTTTACCAGATACCAAAGTTTCCGGTGTAGCCACTTAGAGTTCAATATCTTCTCGACCTCATACTCTTCTTCTCCTTCTACTAGTTCCGGGCCTGGGCGTGGGTCAGTGGGTCTTTCTGCGATACCATCCAGGAGGTGTGGCCTGACGTTCGTCACGGACACGACTGGGTGGATTCCCTTCTGTCGGGCGGTGAGCTGGAGCTTAACGGCAGCTGGGGAGATGACTTGAGTGATCCTAAAGGGGCCAAGCCACTTGTGGTCCAGTTTTTTAGTCAGATGATCGGTCGTATAGTTGTGGGCATTGAGCCAGACTTGGTCACCCTCTCGATACTTAGGGGCCAGGTCCCGGTCCCAGTCATAATATCGTGCCATCTCGTCCGCTGCGTGCTCTAGGGCTGCCTTTGCCTCCTCTTGCATTTTCATCATCCTTGACGAGAATGCATCAGCAGCTTCCACCTCAGATGTGCATGTGGGTTCTGTCCCCATCCTAGGATGTTGGCCGGTGTCGAGTTCAAAGGGGGTTCGGTGAGTGGAGGAGTGAACGCAGTTGTTGTAGGAAAATTCTGCTAGCAGGAGCCAGTCTGCCCAGTCGTCTTGGTGGTGGTTGACGAACACCCGGAGGTAGGCCTCGATCTCTTGGTTGACCCGTTCCATCTGCCCATCCGTCTGGGGGTGGCAGGGTGTTGAAGGGGTCAGCTTGACGCCTAGGAGGTCTGCGAGCTCCTTCGAGAAGCGGGAGACAAAGGCGCTCCCCCTATCGCTGAGGATTTCCTCAGGGAGCCCATGGTGTCTCCAGACATGCTCCAAGAAGAGTTGTGCGATACCCTCTGAATCCACAGTTGTCACAGTGGGGACCGTGTGGATGCGTTTGGACAGCTGGTCCACTACGACCAGGATGGCATTGTATCCCCTGGACTCTGGGAGCTCCCCTATCATGTCCACTGAGATGACCTGCCAACGATGGGTGGGGATCTTATTTGGGGTAAGCTTCCCAACCTTTCGTGAGGGGAAGGACTTGACGCGATTGCAGGTGTCACATCTGCATACGTATCGCCCGACATACTCAGCCATCCAGGGCCACCAGTAGTCACGGGAGACGAGTTCCAGGGTTTTCCATCACCCTGGGTGCCCCGTTGCCTGTGAATCGTGGTGTAGCCATACCAGATCATGGCGGAGTTGGGGGTCTTTTGGGACATACACCCTTCCCCGGTACAGGATCAGGTCACCCTGCTTCTCCCATTCATCCGACCTTAATGTCCCTTCTCCCAGCTCTCGCATGGCCTTCACTACCTTCTTGTCATGGTCCTTTGCCTCATGTATCCTTCCCAGAATACCCGCCTCTTCACCTTCCACCGAAACTGCCTCTGTCGCGCGGGCTTTGAACCAGGCAGGTTGGAGAAGAGTTAGCCCCTCATTGTCGTCTCTCCCCTTCGGGTGGTCAGCACGACGGGAGAGTGCGTCCAGCTTCCCCATGAGCTTCCCAGGATGGTGGACAAGGGTGAAGTGGAAGTGGGAGAGGAAGAGGGTCCATCTAGCTTGGCGTCGATTCAGCCTCTGGGCCGTCCGGAAATAGCTCAGGTTGCGGTGATCAGTGTAGATCTCAACCTTCTCTTCAGCGCCCTCTAGGAAGTGCTGCCACTATTCGAGGGCTTGGACGATCGCCAGCATTTCCTTGTCGTACACTTCGTAGTTGCGTTCTATGTCCGTGAAACTTTTGGACATGAACGCTACCGGGTGGAACTCCCCATCCGACTGGAGCTGGGAGAGGACTGCACCGGTTGCGAAGTTCGAAGCGTTGCATTCGAGCTTGAAGTGGCTGGAGTCTGAAGGGAAGGAGAGGACGGGTGCAGTGGTGACGGCTTCTTTAAGGGCTAGGAAGGCACCGTCCTCATCTGGGCCCCAATTCCAGGCTTGAGTTTTCCAGGTCAGCTTATGGAGGGGGCATGCTTTCTCTGAGAAGTCCTTGATGAACCGGTGATAGAAGTTCACGAACCCTAGGAAGGACTGCACCTCCTTCACTTTGGTTGGGACTGGCCAGTCAAGAACTCCACGGACTTTCACAGGATCCATCGCCACGTTGCCCTCAGAGATGACGAGGCCCAAGTACTCGATCCACATCCGCTCGAATTTACATTTCTCAGGCTTCAGGAAGAGCTTCCTCCTTCGCAGCGTCTCCAGGACCTCTCGTACTACCCTCCGATGTTCCTCTAGGGTCGCAGTGAAAATGAGGATGTCGTCCATGTAGCAAATGACGACTTCCTGGTCGATGAAATCCCAAAGGATGTCGTTCATCATGGTCTGGAAGGTCGCGGGGGAGTTGCACAGGCCGAAAAACATCACCATGGGTTCGAATAACCCCTGGTTGGTCGCAAACGCTGCCTTCCACTTGTCCCCATCTTTGATCTGGACATTGTTGAACCCCCAACGTAGGTCCAGGGCTGAAAAGTACTTGGCATTGCGAAGGCGGGCGAGAACATCTGAGATGAGGGGGAGCGGGTACGAGTTCTTGACCGTGATCTCATTAAGTTTCCAATAGTCTTGGACTAAGCGCAACGACCCATCCTTCTTCTTGACAAAGA